GCAAATTTCATTCATTCAGAAATCATTCTGCGAACCAAACACCCCCTTAGGGATCCGCCTAATCAATCACAAAGCGGTTTGGGTTAACTGGTTTGAGGGTTTAATCCCAGTTTTTTACATACTTCGTTCATGGAAGGACCTAGTTAAAAAGCAAACTGTAGCACGTGCCACCATTTTATGATTCTATCCTAATGAAAAAAAAAAGTTTCTCAAGGTTGCCACTGTATCATTTTGTCGGTTACCCTTATATGGCCTTTTATTTTCAAACTAAAATAATGGCACAAGTTCGTGATAGCATGGATAGTTAGTGTGGCTGCTTTTGTCCGAAGGCTGGAAGTTCATATCTCGGGTTTGTAAAGTTTATTATTTGTTAGCTTAACTTAACCGTGTTAAAAAAATTTGAAGCCAAAGGCCATCAAGCGGTTCGAACATGGGTTTTTCTCTTGTGCAAAAGCAAGTAACCAAACAATAGATAGTAGGGATGGTAATGGGGCGGGGATGGGACGGGGACCCCAATACCCGTCCCCGTCCCCGATCCCCCATATGTGTCCCCGTCCCCGTCCCCGTCCCCGTCCCCGCCGGGGATTATGATCACATCCCCATCCCCGTCTCCAACGGGGAAACGGGGATTTTTAAAAAAAAAAAAAAAACCAAAACAACCTATTTAGTAGAAGAGAAGTAAAGAAGAAGACTATTTAATCTCCATTCTCCATCTGTATGATAAATTGGAATACATCAATTTAATCTTCATGTCTGCTAACATCTATTTACTTAGCCTTGCATAAACATAAAGTAATAGAGACTGCATAATTTTACTTAGCCTTGCATAAACAGAAAGTAATAGAGACTGCATAATTTTACTTAGCCTTGCATAAACAGCCTAATCTTGTGTAGAGCATTAACATGCATAATCAAGGGAGAAGTAAAGAAGAAGACTGAAAAAGGGCCTTTGGGCTATGTTAGAAGGGAGCTGTTAGATAGTTTGAATGGGAATACAAATGGGGAATTAACATGAAACTATTAAGAGGAATTGGAGATTCACACACGTGAGGTTTGGAAGCAGAGGCGGTAAGGAAAGAAACACACAAGACTCTTTCTCGATTGTGAGATACACATGTTGAATTCAATCGGCTCRGAAAGATAGTAGACATGAATCTGGTTGGCAGCAAGGCAACAAGAGGTTGCAGTTGGCAGTTGGCAGTAAAGATGTTTCATTGGGTTATACTTTTTTTTTTTTTGAAACTATCTAAACATCCCCAATCAAAGTTATGTTAGACATTTTATCAAACACTTACAATGCGTTACAACCATACATTTTCGTTAACCATATACTAATGACTTACTACTGTATTACGAATCAGATATTCATCAAAACCTAGAAAACCATTCAGCAGGTACAACAGGTTTCAAATTTTAAAGATTAGTTCATGCACTCATCATGCATCAAATAGAAAATCTAAAAATCGAACTGAAATGTGTACATGCTTCGCTTGGTAAAATAACTACGATTGCTTCATACTCTAATCAATCACGGGTGCTTTACCTTCGAGTCTAGAAGAAGAAATACCGTCATTGATGTCTGAAGTGCAGGCCCGTCCACCGAACAACAAAAGTGAACAAGGTGATGTTGGTTGATAATCTTTCTTGTTAACAAAGGGCTAAATGATGAATTTGGATTCAGGTTCATGGAGAAGGTCTAGAGGAAGGGGCGAAGAACCAAAATGCCAAGAAGATCGAAGCGTCCAGTGTGAAATTTGGCCCCCAAAATAGCATATTTAACAGGCCAGGGGACAGGCCTGGAGAGTCGGAGAGGGAGAGCCTGAGACCGTCGCCGTCGCCGTAGCTGTCGCCGTCGCCGATTAGGGTAGGGAGATGGAGTCGTATCTTATTAAGGGTGAGGAGGGAGTCGTCGTATCATCAGACGTTAATAGGGATTYTGGGAGACGATGAAGAGAAGACGCTAGGGCTGGGCTGGAACTTCTTGGAAGGAGACGATGAAGAGAAGACGTTGGGGCTGGGCTGGAGATGGATGCATTCTCTAATGACTATTGACTAATACAATTAACAGGCCAAAGCCCAAAGCCCACAATACATATATATAAAACGGGGCGGGGCGGGGAGTGTTGTACCCGTCCCCGGCCCCATCCTCGGCTTGAGCCAAGCGGGGATCCCTGTCCCCGTCCCCGGGACCAGATTTTTCGGGGAATCCCCGTCCCCGACCGGGGCAGGTGGACCGGGTTACCCGACGGGTCGGGGTTCATTCCCATCCCTAATAGATAGGCATTAAATGAAAGAAAAAAGAATTAAGAACTATATTTTACTTAATTTTTCTATATATTTCTTTCAATAGTCAAACAAACTTTTATGGGTCCGCCTTTAATTTAGCTATTTTTTTTTATTAACATACGGCTAAAAAATTTCATGCGTACACGTTTTAAGGTATAGGTCTTCCATGATTTCATTTACTCTAAACTGCATAAAGGTTTAGGCTTTAAGAAGTACATTACGGTGTTGAAATATCTGAAAACTTCAGTTTTTATCTGAATTGATATTATAATTCTATGTAGACTAATAACAATATAAATTTGTGGTACTTATAACTCTTTCAGAATAATGGTTTGAATGGTGATGATTTATTCACAATTGGCTATTTTAATAGCAAATATGTGGACACATGAGTTGCATATAATTCAAGACTTTCGAAATTGACAAGGATTTCTAATATAGTCTTTCTATTTTGTTATGTACCTGACCAAAAGATTCTTTGTTTTCACATTTAATTATTATGTGATTGACACGTTGAATATTGTCATGTGATATAAGGTCATTTTTGGGACAATATTTCATCAAATGAAAATAATCCCTTCACATTTTTATCTTTGACCGTTTTATTGTAAATATTCAAAATGATGCTGTTAATAGGTCAAGTTATAATAGATGTGGTAGCTTGGAATCATTTGTGTTCACATAACGGGAACAAAGTCCCCACAGTGGCGGTGTAAATGCATGCCGACACTATGATCGTTTCCACATGGATTGAAACCATTGAGAATCAGAGAATTCCATGAACTTCTTGAACATGTTTAGGTTTGTGATTAAAAGTTGGATATTTGTTGGTGAAAAGCCTTAAAAGAATAGACTTATTTTCAAATCTTTGTGCACCATTGAAGCCGTATTTCAAATCCGTTCATCTCTGGATAAACATTTAATATTAGCCCCGACTCAGGTGATCAAGTTTACGAAATGGTAAAGAAAGAAAACACCCAAATGTTGCTTATAAATCCTAAGTTAACTCCCACTTACACCCAGAGAAGTAATTATCTCATAATAGACATAGAAAACATAATTAAAGACGATAAATAAAACTTAAATGAAACTTTCATTAAAATAGAACAAGAGTCTGTCGCTTCACTTCTACAATAAATAAGAAATAACTCTAAAAAACGAGAGTTATCACCGTACAAGTCTGGTTTTTATTCATCATTTGATGGCATTCATTGTCTACAAATTATTGAAACAGTGTACTTCTTTCAATTATTTTTTCCATTTAATGCATACTAATGTTTTTATCTAATAATTTGCTGAAAATATGTTGGAAACAGATAATCTTTTTTAATAAACGGGATAATATATTGGTGGAAATATATCATCTATTTGAACAACTATTGATAATTTATAGCTCTCTGGACAGAGGGGACGGAACCCGTGCATCTATTGACTTCATAACTACCTTATTACCTTTCAAACTTTCCTGAATTCTGTCTGTCACGTATGGCATTGTAGCCTTTGGATGAACTACGGCTTCGTGCTGCRGCAAAGATTTCTCTGTATCACGTACGCATCGCAAGAGCAAGTGAAACAAAAAAAAGTTTACATTTATTAAAAATTAAAAAAATGATATATAATCAAAATAATTATGTATGTATAAATACTACGAAAAATTCAAGATTTTTAGTGAACAAATGCATTTTTAAGGTAGAGCAAAAGCATTTAAAATCGTGATTTAATCTTGTAGAAAAATCAACACGGTTTTGACATGGCAAAATTCAATCGTGTTGATTTGAGAATACGCCACATTTTTCAAAATGGAATCCATCTTTGAGCAAGTCGTAAGACTACGTCTTAGGTGTAATCTCAGCGTGTGCCAAATTCCACCGTGTTTCAAAGAATTTTTATAAGTTTTTTGGTTAATTTTGAGAGATTTTTTCGATTTTTTACTTGATATCTTTTGTATTTTATAATATCCCAGATCACCCCTCAAACTTTAATATGTGCACCTTTCGTATCTAAAAAAATCTATTTATAAAAATCGGTTGAACAAGTCTACGGAACCCCATAGATCCGCTCCTGCATAAATATATCAGCCACATGTGCGTTTGGATACATTGCAAACTTGATTATTACAACTGAGTTTTATACCGTTTGTATCAACAACTTTTATTCAGATTTTGGATTTTCTGACAGTTCACCTGTGATAACTCCTGACGATTCGTGATCTTCCAAAGAATTAATCGGTACGCATACACTACCTTGGGTAGGGAAAATTACATGAAAAAGTAACGTACTTTAATTTGATTCATACTTTGGTTAACGTAGTTTCAAAATTTTCATTTTAATACCTAAAATATAAAATTTTAAATATTTAAGTACTCGGGTAATCGGTTGAAACATAAACCGGTTACCATACTGATGTGGCGAGTAATGGGATAAAATTGGGTTGAATAGCAAATAATACTGAGTTTGATACCACATCATTTGTCACATCAACATGATAACAAGTTAGGTTTCAACCATTTATCCGTGTATTTAAATGTTTAAAACTTTACATTTTAGATACCAAAATAAAAGTTTTAAAAATAAGTTATCCAAAATAAAAATTAAGTTAAAAGTACGTTATTTTTTAATGCAAATTTACCCCATGGAGTAGTTAAAAAAACTAAATTTAATTATGAATTTATGAGATTATAAATTCTTCAACCATACGCTACGCTTGAAAATGAACTTTAAACAACCACTTTTTTAGTCCCCCGCTCCCCAACTTCTCCAGACTTCAAACTTATCTCTCACAGTAATCTGTGTGTAGTTGTTACGAATCATCCCTAACAAGAAGGAGATATGCGGCGATTCCATGATCATCTTCTCGTAATCACTTCAATACTTCTGTATCTTCTTCAATCATCATCATCTCTCAAGGTCTGTCTGTTAATCCCTTTGATCTCCTCGTTTTTCTCCCATTTTCCCCTCACTTCCAAACCATCAATCGTTACGTTACGTCTCTGTAAAAACAGATCGGAGAAACGTGTTCTACCGCCAACAACAAATGTGATTCCGGGTTGCGTTGTGGGACGTGTCCGGCGAGTGGGAATACTCGCCCCAGATGCACTCGTATTCAACCCTTCAGTCCTACTTCTAAGGTCTGTCAGTTACTTTTTAATCAATTTGGGAAGAACTGTATGAATTGAAATTGCAAGGATTCGATGTGTGATTTTGTGAATTTGGATTACAGGTTAATGGTTTACCTTTTAATCGATACACATGGCTGACAACTCATAATTCATTTGCGGTTTCGGGTACAAAATCACCGACCGGGGGACCGGTTCTGGGCCCGGCCAATCAGGAAGATGATATTACTTCTCAGTTGAAGGTAAGTAAAAACATATTTCGAATTTCTCTTAATATCTCAAAGTTCATGATAGAATTATCCCAAATCAATCTATTGTCAAAACTAGTTACCATGATTTTTGTGATAATTTCTATATTTAGACAGTAGATGTGATGGTTTTTCTGTTTAATTTTCTTTGTAAACAGTTTATACAACATTTTTGACATATAAAAATAACTCATTGACTTATTCCGGGATGACACCGATAAGAAGCAGTTCGGATAAACAACTTATACTGGTGCCAAATCGGTAATAAGGTGTTTTTGAAGAAGTTAAATTCTTCAGACTTATAATAAAATGATAAGTGTTTTTATAGAAAAACATAAGTTGTTTCAAATAAACAATCCCAAACATCCCCTAAAAATGTAGAAGATGAAGTTTAATCTGACACATTTGAAATTGATTTTGTTAGGAGGGGGTTTATTTCGTGTGATAGGATGATATAAAAACTTGTGGTCCCATTCAAAAGGGGACGTCAAGTGGGATAAAAAATGTATTGTTTTTGTTTAATTAAAATAGGTGGAACAATAATCAGAAATGAAAAAAGAATTGGTAAATTACTAAAATATCTATGTCAAATTAAAACCCTTAAACTTTCTTGAATTCTTTAACCAACCTACCTCACCCTCGACTGATCCTATCATGTGATCCTGTCCAATCCCATCATGTCCTGTCCAGTGTTGTTCATATACTAAACGCAACCTTAGTATAGACATGAATGTTTATTAGAAGAAACTTAATAAAGAATGAGTCTAAACGAACCCTCTTGTAAATCCATCTCTCAACCGTGTCAAAATCAAAAATCTTTTTTATACGTTGTTTTGATCCAAGTCAAGGTTTGTTTAGCAACTTCTAAGACCGAATCAAATGCATTATAAATGTAAAAATATGGATATGAAATTCACACATGTATATATATGTGTGTGTGAACGACAATGTGAAAAAGAGAGTAAAAGTAAGAAGCATAAGAAAAGATCTGGATTCTTGATCATTTTAATCTTAAACTCACCCATGAATTGGGCTTGATATAGGGATTGGTCCGATGCATCTCATCCTAATGTGCATCCGAAGGTGTAGATCCATTTTTACACTTCTCACTTTAACTTTTTTTTCACTGGAACCCAACCATATATATATATATATATATAATTTATAAAAAATATTTGTTTAACATTCCCCAAAGAGGGCTGTTGATAGTCTGCTACTGAAAATTTCCATGATGCTGTATTATCTATTTTTAATTGATTAGGTACTGAGAATTGATTAAACAATTGATGTATTTATTGAATGTTAGCTTATTGTATAAGCATCTAATCTCTGTTATATTCCCTTCCTGGGAAATGATTAATTTTATAAAAAAAAGGTTTGTTTTTATGCTAATCCAATGGCCAAAATTATTCCCCTTTATTTCATTTGTTATATATATATATATATATATATATATATATATATATATATGTGTTAATCATTGCAATAAAATTAAGTTCGTAGGAAATAAAAAATGTATAAGTGTTCTAATAAATCACTTTATAAGAACTAAATATATAAGACCAAACTTTTACGTGCTGTATTCAAAAGTGTTGTAATAAGTTTATTAGATGTTATTGGACGTCTTAATTTTTTTTTTCCAAAGATACTTTTAAAACCGTCATATTAGGCTTTTTATAAGACACTTTTAAAGAGTATTCTACACTTAAGGACCTTTGTTTTATAACACACTTTTTCAAATGTTGTCCTGCAAAATGGCTAATATGACATTTTGTTACAAAAATGTTCTCAAAATCTTTTTAACATATTACAACACTTTTAGATAAGACATACAAGTGTTTGGTTCTATAAAGTAGTCTACTAGGACACTCACGTTTTGGTGTCCTATAAACCCGATTTTCTTTTTGTGAATCCAATGGCTAAGATTAAATCCAAGTGACGTTTGTTGGTGTTGGATTTTCATATCAACTAGACTTGAACCATTTATCGTTAATATATGTTGAAATCTTCTCTCCTTAACAATTATTTTGAACAACAATCTGATATGATTCCACATATTCGAACAGTTATATTTTTATTTCTTTGTTAATGTAGAATGGGGTTCGAGGGCTAATGTTGGATATGTATGATTTCAACAATGGTATATGGTTATGTCACTCCTTCGGCGGTAAATGCTACAATATCACAGCATACGTAAGTTTACACGAATTGGAACAAAAGTCGCGAGAAATTTGAGTTGTATGACGCATAAATTTTCATCTTTTGTGTTTTGAACTCACAGCAACCGGCTATTAACGTGCTACGAGAGATTCAAAAGTTTTTACAAGCAAATCCATCGGAAATCATCACCATTTTCATCGAGGATTATGTGACATCCCCAAATGGATTAACAAAGGTATTTGATGCATCCGGTCTCAGTAAATTCATGTTTCCCGCGAGTCGGATGCCTAGAAATGGTGGAGATTGGCCCACAATCACAGATATGGTTAAGCAGAATCAACGGTTGATCGTTTTCACTTCCAAATCCTCAAAAGAGGCCTCCGAGGGGATCGCTTATGAGTGGACATATGTCGTCGAAAATCAATGTAAGTTTTAACATAAATCTTTATTACTATGATGTTCTCTCAAGCATACAAACTCAATCCTTTCTCCTTGATATATGATTGAACCTCCCTCCTAGCCAAAATAGCGGTGCATGAAAGCGGTGTATTATAACGGTACCGCAAATAGCGGCCCCTATTACCGCTACTGACCGCAATTTTGATACCAAATAGCAGTGGCTATTACCGAATTTTCTTGTTGTGCTCTTTAAGACTCCTTTTTTAATTTAAATTCTATTTGGGTTTTTGTTGTGTAATTTATTTGGACTATTTAGAGTCAAACTTAGGCCTGCAAACAAAAAGGAAATTGATTAAATCAACAATAGAAAGAATTAGGTCAAACTTTGGTACCGATTCCGAGTCCAAAGCTCTGCTCATCGATTCCAAGTGCAAAAAGCTTCAACAGCTTGAGTTTTCTTCTCAATGGTTTTCTGCTCGAGTTTTCTTCTCATCTTTGACAGCACAACTCCTATTACTATGTTGCTTGTGTGGTCTGAATTGTTTGACTTTATATGTATTAGACATACAATATTTTAAATTTTATATATAATCGTATTTATTTTATGAAAATAATTTTTTTATCGCTATATCACCGCGATAACCGCCATTTCAAATCAAGATCCCGACTGCTATGTTCGTAATGGACCGCATTAACTGCCTAGGTCGCACCAAGCGTTGAACAACAGGTTTTTATTATGTCATGTCCCATCTTGTCATGTGTACCAAACAACAACATTTGTGTCTATATGCTAAATAATATATACCAATGGTGGAGAAACTAGATTTCTTTAAATCTTTAACACTCGAGGTTTAAACCCCAGATGGAAACGAGGGGAAGATTGCCGGTTCTTGCCCAAGTCGGTCTGAATCCTCTCCGATGAACACAACATCCCGATCACTGGTTCTTCAGAACTACTTCTCGACTAATCCCAACGTCACGGGAGCCTGTATTGATAACTCGGCTTCACTCATCTCCATGATGAATACATGCCAAGAAGCTGCAGGCAAGCGTTGGCCAAATTATATCGCCGTTGATTTTTACCAGGTATAGAGCTATATGGAATTGGTTCATTTGAAAACCGTAAACATTTTAAAAACCGAAAAATAAATGAATATTCATAATAAACATCCATGATATTCTTTAGTTAATTCATTATGAATAGTGATTGGTTAGCAAGTAAACCTTTTTAAAGTATAATTTTGACTTTTGAAGTCAAATCTGAGTTGCAGAATTATTCTATGTTTTTGGTACAGAGAAGTGATGGTGGAGGAGCAGCTGAAGCCGTCGATGAAGCAAATGGTCGTTTGGCTTGTGGATGTCTTAGCATTGCCTATTGTGGGGTATGTTCTTTCTCACAAATTAATAACGGAAAATTCATTTTTCTATATATTTAATGGTAAAATTTCCTTTTGTTAATTAAAAAACGTAAAATTATACATTTTTAAAACTGTGTCCTTTGGAAATTTATTTTGGATGAGAGGAAGTAATTCAATAGATACCATATGAAGAGAATAAATGGCATTCGTGCAGGTGAACGGAACATGTAACGTACCATTGCTTTCGCCTCCACCACCGGCACAAGCATCGACGGGAGATTCCGCTGCTTCGAGCACGGGTTTCTCGATTCACAAAGTCGTTCGACTGCAATCGTTTATCGGTACACTGCTCTTGTCCACATGGATCTTGCTATCACTATAAATCTCATGTATCTCAAGAGCGTTTTTCACTCGTCGGTGTACTTATAATCTTCATGGCTAATCTACGGGCACTCACTTGTATATCTTCACTTACATGTTGCATATATGGTTCGGTTATATCTAACGGTTCTACACGAACACTTGACGTAACTAGTCGCAACCATCAAGATTCCGGAAAGAATTAAAATTCATAGATGCGTGATATGTTAAACGTGTCTGGTTTCCAACTTTGATTTCATTTGTAACATACACGAGTAATCGTACCAGATGTCTGCCTAATTCACACACAGGCTCACCTTTGAAAACACGTCTAGTAGAGGAGGTATTCAGTCCATCTGCAACTGATGTGGGATCTCATAATCCACATTATTAGTCTACAGTTAATAGAATCACGAAGGAACAAAACGTTGAGATCTCGATCATCGTATCACTTGTGTAAAAATATGTGTAAAGGATCAAATTTATTCGATAAATTTAAAAGAACACCAAGGAGTCGGACTCTTATTATCTCTTCTCAACCCGTTCAACATTATTCGTGTCTCAAGTCGAGTATCTGGAGATGCGATCATGGCCATCGATTATCTGTAAAGGGTCTTCCGAATCTGTATAAGAAAAAACGTATACATTAGTAAGCGAAAACCAGTCGATCAAACATTTTGAATCCCAACACGAGAAAAGAATACATACCGTAGGAAGCTTATTTCGATAAATAACATCCAATCGAGCATCAAGCGTGTTCTCGAAAACAATCTTTCCATCTTGTGAAGCTAACACGATCCCTCCCGAGCTTTCAGATCATTACCGAACCAACGTTAGTCGTTGTTTACTTGCCACTTTATCGTTTTTACAAGGTAAATAAACATTTATTGCCACTTACTAACAAGAGATGATGGTTTTTACCAAGCTGTCGTTTTGTTAACTGTGAATCTTAGTTACTCAGTTAATGTTTGGTAAACGACCTCTTAATCGTAGCTTTTAGAATCTTATCATTCAAATTCGAAAAATAACCCATTTGATCGATCAAATATGGTTAAGGCGGAAAATAAGAGTAGCCATTACCATGAAGGACGATGAGGGTCATTGTTGTTCGGAGGAGCCGGGAGATACTCTTTTCTATCGATATCGATTTTCGGAGACGATAATTTTGTTTTTGCAACGTATGCTTTTTTTGCCTCCTCGAGAACACCCTCGACAAGCGTAACGTCAATCTCTCGGCACCGCAACACCACCGAAGGCTCCCGCAACCTTAAGAGACCCTGCAAGTTTTAAAGAGTTCGATCGTTTATCAGAACACATTCAATATGATGTCGACTAAAACATTTCTAAGTGTACCTGAAGAATCAAGCTGTGGACGAGATCTTTATAAGTTCTTCGGTTACTAGAAACATTAAGAAGCTCCTTTCGAGCCGATTCTTTCATGGCGACTACCACGTCGTCTTGTGCTTGAAGAACTTTGATACGCGATGCATTCAGTTGCATCGAGTATTCACTGTACAAAGATATGCAACTTTGATCAAAATTTCAAGATTTGTACGAAAAATCGAATATAGAAACCGGAGAAAAATACCGTCTCATTCTCTAACAATCCTTTTAGAATACTTTCCAAAAACGTCTTTTAGGAGAGAAAAGAGGTTCCAACGTATATTAAGAACAAAATGGTCCAGATTTAGCTGACGTGGGATTCCGACGCTTCCCACAAATCAAATTTTCGTTTATTCTCACGGCATTTAGATGTGATCCGACGTAACGTAATGTGCAAGAAAACTCACATTTTCTTTTTAACCTCGACTTGCTTGGTCTTGCGCTCGTATTCCTGTTTTATTTTCTTCTTATCGGTGTCGACCATTTGCATTTTGTGAATGTTGAATTCCTGTAAATAACAAAACAAGCATCGTTTAACATCCGTTTGGGATAACTTAACGATCCAAATTCGAATCCGTTCAAAGAATTCTGAACGGATTTTTGGGTACGGAAAAAAAAAGATAGAAACCAAGATGATCGGAGGGAAGAAAAACGAGGACCTCTTCAGCAGAGACGGAGATCTCGTTAGCTTTCTCTTCGGCTTCTTGCCGAATGAATGCAACCATCTGTTGTATCTGTTTCGATACATCTGCATCGTTCATCTTTGCTTTTCCGGAAACAAATCGAGAAACGAAAACAAATCCGCGAATTAAAACTGTTTGTATGAATAAATCTGAATCGAATTCAGATCGAGATGATGGAAAAACTGTGTTAGATGACAAGTGAATTTGGAGAAAAGTTGTTTCTGTTTAGCAAAGTTTTGGGCGAATTAATCGGAACAAGATTTGGACTTTATGTTTGAATGGATTAAGAGCCAAATCGCTCCCAAAAAACCATTATTTCGGGCGGATAATTCATAATTCGTCGCTTTCGAATATGATATACCGGGTTTATTTAGTTTTCGTATGACTGATAACTAGAGATGGAAATTTTACTCATTGGAGCCGGTACCCGTAGGTACCCGGCCCTAACGAGGCGGGGATTCCCCGATTTTGACGGATAACAGGGCAAGGACGGGGATTTATTTTCATACCTGAAGCGGGGTTGGTGTTGGGGATGACATTACCCGTACCTAATTCGGACATGATTAATTCTTTATCTATAATCTATACTATATTATAAAGCATTTGACTAAAACTCTTAAAAACTCTTAAACCCTTCTCATGTCTGAATACGTGTAACTAACTGCAGATAAACACAATCAAATAAAGGATAAACATGTCATTTTAAATATAAAAAATCTAAAATATAATTAGTATAATCATTCAATTTTAATAGAATACTTAATTATTATCTTTATAAAATTTATAATATTAAACCAAAAATAAATTATTTTATTATTTAACTTAATTAAATTATATATAAAAAATATATTCTATATTATAAATCATTTAGCAAAAACTCTTAAAAACCACTTTTTATGCGTAAAGTACTGTTTATTAATGCATATTACTTAAAACTCAAGATTACAAGTAAATTGTACATAAGTACAACTTATTAAAGCTCCATATCTGAATTCGTGTAACTAACTGCAGATAAACACAAACAAATACAGGATAAACATCTCATTTTAAATATA